CCTGATCCATTATTGAAGCTTCTCGTGCAAAAATACCAGGCCATTCAGTTTTATCTTTACTGGAAAACAAATGAAATTAAATACCAAAAAAACGGATCATAATTACCGCTTGATAAAGCCAAAGTGTTTAAATCGATTAACGGTAACAAAACTACCTTTAACACCTTTTTTCTAATAATAAAATATTCGTTTTAGTTTTTAAATTAAAGATTTATTACCAATAAGAACACATTCATTATTCTACGGAATAATAACTTTACTTTTGATATGAGTAGTCGTTCAATTACTCTCAGCATTTATTCCTTCATCATTGTCTATAACAACTGATTCATGACCAGGTGCATTTTCACTACTAGTTGCCATTGATTGATAAGACAAAATAAATCAAAGTAAACACGAACGCAAGTATTATTAATATTATGAAAAGTGGTATAGAATTGATAATTATTCTTAGAATTATATTGTATCAAATTCAGTATGAAACAAGACCTTGCTATGACCAATTTCAAAGCTTGAGAATGTGATTGATTCTATTTTTGAACAAATAAAAAACAAAGTGAATATACCTTTTCACTTTTTGAAGTACACATAACACTCGGATTTAAATCCGAGGTTTTCGCATTTATTTTTTAATAAATACAATACATTCCTAACATACAATATAAAATTTAAGAGAAGAACAATTTTAGTCTTTTCTTTGTTTTCTCAAATTCTAAGCATTCAAATGAGACATTGTCGTCCATTCGTTCATATTACAATCGACAATCGATGGTTTGACTAATAATAGTAGAAAGATAATTTCCCAAATATTTTATATAAAAAAAAGACAAGTGAAAGAAGAAAAATAAATAAAATAATCTTAGTGCAGTAATCGTTTCAATTGCTGTATGCAATTTTTTTTTGATTAGATCATTTTCAAACTGAAAAGAAAAGAAAGAAAATTAATGTAATAAGAAACCCTAGTCGTACATCTTGTAAGCAAGATCTAGGCCAAGACACGAGGTACAGAAAAGTGAACAGATCTTGCAAATTTAGGTATAAGATAATTGTATTATCCTGTACCAAGATCTTCATACCGGATATTCAAGATCTTCTATCCAATATCTTATCTTTCCTGATCTTTTCCACTAATCTGAGGTATAGATAATTATATCTCGGGTACTATTAATCAAGACTTCCAAAATCTTGAGCGAATGTCTTGTTTCCCAACTTTTATTTTATGCGAAAAAATAAGTTTATCTGAATATTTAAAAAACATCTAATGTTGACTAAGAGACATTGTAATGACAAAAACGTATTAGAAAAAAAAACACTTTGATTTACATAAATAATTCTACAAATTGAAAATGTACATTTGATTTGCATACATTCATTGGGAGGATGATACATTTTAGTTAAAAAAAGAATTTTATATAAAATAAT